TAGACTCCCTCGTAATACACTGCAGAAAATTCCATGAAGGAGAGGGTCTGCCCCAAAAATCGAATTCCACCAATGGGCAATACAAAACAACGAAAACCAGAGGCCTTCCGGCATTAGTCTGCCCCTCATGTGGCCACCAATGTATGCGTAAATCAGGCCTAACTCAACACCGAATGTCTCGACACGGGTATCAACCTATTCGCGCACACCAGCCAACGCGACCAATGCGAAGAAACAGCTCTGCATCTTTTGAGTTGCATCACTCTTCATCCACTGCGAGTTCAATTTGCGATAGTTGATGATGTACCCCTGAAGAAACTATGTTTTTCTAAGCGGTTAGCAAAATTCCTTATTACGGTGGAGTGGAACTACGCTATGCCATAGTTTTCACACCCAAGAAACCCTACGCAGCCTACCTCCCCCTCTGTAAGGCCTCCCCACCTCTCTAAAATCAGCGATGAGCACGAATATGGAAACCTTGATAGAAGAGTAAGCTCAAGGCGTCTGCCGCCGACCAAAACAAACAACAAAATAAATAGGAGTTCATTGAGGCCAATCTATTACAAAAAAAAAACCCAAAAATAAAAAAAATTAATACCAAAAAGGAGACTTGAGGACGGGTTTTGGGTAAGAACAGTGAGAGTAGAGAGATCTGGTTGGGTTTACTCGATCAGATTTCTCGTAGACTGGTTCTCTCGTTTGGGAACGGGCCACAACAAAAAATCATATTACAAGAGCTTGAGGATCCTATAAAACAAAGAGATCTTCTTCCCCTTCGGAGCCACTCGTAAGCCAGTAATTAGGCGCTCTACGTTGAACGGCTGTTAGCCGTACCATTGGAGTAATATCCATAAAGCCACGAAGAGCAGAAAGAAAAACGTGGTAGTGTGGTGTGGGGGGTTCCTTTTGGGTTGGGGTGGAAGGGGATATGTTTGATCGTACCCTCCTAATACACATCATGGAGTAAAGGACGTGTGTGTTTGTGTGGGTGTTTTTTTTTTTTATTTTTTGGTGATAATGCTGTGGAAGAAGAGGCGAACCGGCATTCTGAGGGAAAAAAATAAAATAATAGTAATAAGGATAAATAGAGGTAATATGTGTGTGAGAGAGAGTAATTGTGTGTTGCCTTTGTTTGTAAAGAGTGGTGTGTTATTACAGTGATGTATGCAGTCATTTTTGTTATGGTTGTTGGTGAGTGGGTTTTAGATTCCAATTGTGGTGTTGGTATAAATATTATGGTGATGCATTGGTTTCTTTTCTTTTTCTGTTTGGAAGTGTGTTGATTATTGTACAGTCTCTTTGTTTTGCTGANAAATTCCATGAAGGAGAGGGTCTGCCCCAAAAATCGAATTCCACCAATGGGCAATACAAAACAACGAAAACCAGAGGCCTTCCGGCATTAGTCTGTCCCACATGTGGTCACCAATGTATGAGTAAGTCAGGCCTAACTCTACACCGAATGTCACGACACGGGTATCAACCTATTCGCGCGCATACCAGCCAACGCGACGAATGCGAAGAAACAGCTCTGTATCTCTTGAGTTGCCCCGCTCTTCATCCACTGCGAGTTCTATTTGCGATAGTTGATGATGTACCCCTGATGAAACTATGTTTTTCTAAGTGGTTAGCAAAATTCCTTATTACGGTGGAGCGGAACTACGCTATGCCACAGACTTCACACCCAAGAAACCCTACACAGCCTACCTCCCCCTCTGTAAGGTCTCCCCCTCTGTAAAATCAGCGACGAGCTCAAATATGGAAACCTTGATAGAAGAGTAAGCTCAAGACGTCTGCCACCGACCAAACAAGCAACAAAATAAATAGGAGTTCATTGAGGCCATTATGTGAAAAAAAAAAATAATAATAATAATAATAATAACAAAAAGGAGACTTGAGGACAGGTTCTGGGTAAGAACAGTGAGAGTAGAGAGATCTGGTAGGGTTTATTCGATCCGATTTCTCGTAGACTGGTTCTCTCGTATGGGAACGGGTTACAACAAAAAATCATATTACAAGAGCTTGAGGATCCTATAAAATGAAGGGATCTTCTTCTTCTTCAGAGTCACTCCTAAGTCAGTAATTAGGTGCTCTACGGTGTACGGTTGATGGCCCGTTCCATTGGTGTAACATCCATAAAGACAAAAAGAAAAAAAAAGAAAAACGTCCGTGGTGGTGTGGGGTGTCCCTTGGGTGGGGGGGTGGAAGGGGATATGTTTGATCGTACCCTCCTAATACACATCATGGAGTAAAGGACGTGTGTGTACTTTGGTGGGTATGTATGATTTTTTTTTTTATTTGGTGATAATGTTGTGGGAGTAAAAGAAGAGGTGAACCGGCATTCTGATGGAATTAAAAAAAAAATAATAGTAATAAGGATAAATAAAGAGGTAGTATGTGTGTGAGAGAGAGTAATTGTGTGTTGCCTCTGTTTGTAAAGAGTGACATGGTATTACAGTGATGTATGCAGTCATTTTTGTTATGGTTGTGGGTGAGTGGGTTTTGGATTCCAATTATGGTGTTGTTATAAATAATATGGTGATGCATTGGTTTCTTTTATTTTTTCTGTTTGGAAGTGTGTTGAATATTGTACAGTTTCTTTGTTTTGCTGATGATTTGTGGTATTGTTTTTGTTTGTTGCCAGGCGTACACTGTGTTTTTGGTGTTCGAACTGCTTGGTAATGGTTTTATTATAATGAGAATACAGACACACTTTGTGTATGATTGCCGAGTAAGATATTGGAGTGTGTGTGGAGACGTTTATTTAATATTGTTTTGATACCATTTGTTTTCCACTTCTTCTAGGCTCTAGGTGTTGTTTCAATGTCTGTGTAACTCTGGGTGTGTTTTATTGTGTGAGTGGTTTACTGTTGTTCCCCTCATTGGGTTGTATTGTTTGATTGCTGTTGTGATGTGTATTCTCTCTCTCTCTCTCTTTCTGTGGAGCTGTGTACTGTCTGCCTTGTGCGTTAAATGTGCGTCTCTATTCACCATCTCTCTCTTCTTCCTTGTTACCACAGATCCAAGTAACTCACAGTGACAATCTTGACAACGATGTTCGTCCAACTGCGTGGTGTGGTGTACCTGTTGGTACTTTTGCAATGTTGTGCGTATGTGGCCTATGCAAGTGTTCCGGCGCCTCCTCCCAAACCCTATAATTATAGTCGTCCCGCTTACGGAGAGGATTACAAACGTGAAACGGAGGAACATGTGGCGTATTGGAAGGGAGTAATTCAAGGATTAAAAACCAAGATGGAAAAGGAGAAAGGAGTGGTTGATGCTGCCCTCCAGGCGTTTGACATTGCAAAGGACAAGTACAATACAACAGTTGAGAAGGCTGAGGATAAGTGCAAGACATTTACCAAAGACGGTAATGATGGGACACAGAATCGTGCCGACATTGGTGGGGAAGCAGACAAGGAACTTCGGAAAGAGTGCGCTCTTGCCGTAAATGAGGTGGTAAGTGCTTCTGATGAGATGGTTGAAAAAGCCAAAGAACGTGTTGCTGCCGCAGAAAAATATAATGAGACTGTGTTTGAACTGTACAAGAAAGGTCATGATTATAAGTCTTTCATCAGTGCTGTCGCGGACAAAAACACACGTTATGCGCGGGATTCGACTGATGCCGAGAAAGATGTCGATGCTTTCAGAAAGCTGAAGACTGCCGCAAAGAAGGCGAGGAATAGTTCCATACGCGACAGAGATGCGGCGGTTGAAGATAATCAGGCACTGAAAAAAGCAGTGGGTGAGGCTGAGAAGTTTTTGGAGGAGGCTGTTCAAGGACCAAAAACCGTGGTAGAAAAGGTGGTGCCTGTCGTACAAAGGATGCGACGAGACCTTGGTTCGGTGGACAACACCACAGAAAGTATGGAAGAAGAACATGAGACAGAGGAACACGAACTGGGGACAGCTGAAAATACGACGACTGCGAAGCAACAGA